TATAGCCTAGTGGTTGTAGGAATGGGTGACTGATTATGTGGTCGACGATTCCAATCCCGCCATTTGACTCTGGTCGCAAACCTAGCTCAAGACCAGTAGTATTAGTAGTGATATTTTATTGAAAAAAAAACTTATCACATATAACACCAAATCGAGTCCAATTTTAGCCAGGACCTAGTTAACATGGTATACATTGCGTGAGCACGCACTCACTTCTTATTTGCACTCAGTGAATGCCGGCGTTGGCTAAATGTAGTTTTGTTTTGAAAACGACTCGACGTAAGAATTTGTTCCATTTCTTAGTTGATCTAGGACTAGGTGTAAAGATCGCTGCTAACATTTTACATAGCATTTTTCAAATAAGTTATTTCTATTTATTATTCTTAAAATAAAATATTGATGTTATTTATTTGAAAGTACACTTTCCCGCGCGTCTTCTGTACAAAATAGCCGGCGATACATCATGTAACATAACATCATACAACTTATTTGCATATTCAATACATTTTAAGTACATTTAATATTTTTATAGAAGTTCAATATGTCCGTGATAAGCGAAGTAATCAAAGCGATCGTTACGGCCAATCATCACAAACAATAGTAGCAATTAGCTCTCTTATGACGACAGTTAATTCAGCCATTTCCGCGGCCGCGCCGACTGACAGACCTAACTGTTTTATTACGCACTCGTCTTGTAAATAATCCTAGCAATCGATTAGCGAGCAATAAACACTTTATCAGGAATTGATAAGAAACAGAAGCGCCTCCGGTATTCAAAGAGAGGACGATAGTCCTCACAGCCCTATATCTACTTCGAGTCATTCAACTAAAAGTGGGTCAAAAGTTTTGTCGCGACCTTGAGGCGAGTCTCACCATTCAAAATAAATAAGTAGACTACTTATTTGTTTTAAAACTGTTTTCTTTAACAATCAAAAACAAAAGTTCCAAAACCCTTATTGGACTATGAAAGTTTACTTATTCATATTTCACTTAACCTGTATCAAATTAGTTGAAACTTGGTGTAGCCAGTCAGTTAAATTTATCCGGCTCGTTAAACAAGAAGTTTCACAAACGTACCGCAAACCAACTATATCATAACTTGACCCTGAAACGCATCCACTATGTTCACGCGAGTGAACCTGAAAGCCTAGCCGCCGCCGCAGCCGCAGCCGCAGCCGTACTGCATGTGGATCGCGAACTTGTGTATACTTATAGAGAAGTCGTCTAACACCAACAGATAAACATATCCCACCTGATACATTAAGACCGCGAAGACAAATTTACTTTAGGATGAGTAGAACGCGACCTTCATATCTTTCCATGCCATATGACTCATGTTATAGTCTTTAAAATCAGAAAAATGTGTTTTCAAAACGCTCTAACGTCGAGATCACGCGCGACGTCTCACACAACTTAACACTTAGCGCACCGGTACACATTTATTAATGAATTTGTGAATACAATTGTACGTTCTTACGGCGGGTGAAATTCGGTGATAGTAAATCTCGAAATGTACTTACGCGATTGATGAAAGATTCGTAGCACTTCGTAGATGATCGTGAGGAGTCGGGGCCCGATGGGCACGCGCCGGGCCGGCGGGTGCGGCGGACGAGGAGGCGGCGGTAGCGGGGGGCGGCGGTGCAGGTGCGCGCGGACCGAGCGAAAACGCGCTACTGGATGGAGCGCGCCGGCGCCGAGGCTCGCGGGGTGATAACCACTGATAAGCGACGCGTCACCGCACCGCCTAGATGTCGTAGCGCTAAAATGTCACCATCATCTCGCATCCACTTTCTTCGTAAAGGATAATGATTTTATCACTACGCTTCATTTTATTGTTGTACGTATTCACAAACAATACACCGCTATGAAAATATTACTAAATAAGAAAAAAATTGCGATTTTACTGAAGTAAGAAAATGTAATTATTACCGACAATAACCTAAATAAAGAACTTGCATGAGTCACTTTCATTGATTTAGACTATGTTATCATGTGCAGGTCTTCTTCACTAAATCACCTTATCACTTATCATCGCATTTTATTTTAACAACTAAATTCTATGACTTGTTAATCCCTGTTTTATAATTTGATAAACTTTTGATAAATAGAAGCGGCATGATTTTTTATGTTCACCGCATTGAAATATTTTTTAAAGAAACGAAAAATTTCTAAACTTCCATTATTTTAAAACAATCATTCTGATAAAAATAGACGTGGAGAAAAATTGTATATACTTTTATAATACCTCCCATGAGAATTTAGTTAATTAACAATGAAAAAAAAATATCTTATAGTTTTTAAGTGTTTTTAAAGGAAAAGTACGTGAAAGTGCAATTGTCATAGCGGCATTTTATGTGTCCCGGTGACAATAGCTGCTAGTAGTATCGTAATTCACTCCTACCAATATACATTTGTTTCATTAAGTTGAGTCGTCAGTGCGCCGAGCGGCTCGCGGCCAATGTCGCCTTGCCGCGTCTCATGGTACAAGCATTTAGCGTAGATTTGCGTAACACCGCTCAGCCGCTCACCTCACTACCTACTGTTACTTAATGACACTCGCTTATAAGACGTTGCTTAAACGCCGTCATATTAACTTAAACGTTAAGCAAACGTTTAATATTAAACAGTTTTTTATAGGTTTACCTTTTTGTAATTTAAAAATATTTTTAATAACCTAATGTCTAAAAAGTTAATTTTTATTGATTGATAGAAAAGCAAATTTTAGTATATTGATTACCGTAATTTTTAACAAATTTAAAAAAAAAACTTTTTTATGTTTAAATTTAAAATAGTCATAAGGTGTTTGTAGAAAAGAGAGTAACAAATTAGGTTGTGTGATAAGTTAACGCGTCGGCTTGCAGGAGGATGTTAGCCAATGTGTTTCTGTGTGGACGATGCTCCTGTCACGTCATCGACACTCATTGTTCATCTTAATTGAAGTTTATACTTACGTATTGCTATTGAACTTTAAGTTTTAAAGCATTTTCTTCTCGAAGACTTCAAACACCGCCCCGATTTCGTGAAAGTTTTAAATCTGTAATGAATATTCTTTGTACTCGTAAATTACGTTAAATGATAAGCACTACGAGATACTACTACTATAAGACATAGAAAACAAAATAAACGTTCGTGTGTAATCCTTGTTTTCTCAACCCAATCCAGATGAAGATTTTTAAAGTATTCAACAAAGCGTTGGTTTTATAGATATCAACGCTGCGCTGGATATATTTATGTAGTTATTATTGAACACTAACCACTTGACAGTACAGCCTTATACATAACTACAACACTCATTATTAATTAGTTGCTCTTACCTTCAAATATTGAATTAAAACTCGCCTTTCATTTCAATATTTTATGCTTCCTTAAAATTTCCATGTAAATATCGTTTCAAGTTATTTTAGGATTACAAAACAAAAGATCAACAAACTCGCTCAGTTTATAGACCCAAAAGTTCGAAAACATTACCGGCTGATGTTTTTATAACTTAAAACATTATTACATCGTAATTGAACTTTTAACAAAGTGAAAACAGAAAAAAAAATAATTTCAAGGCAGTCGGGTTCTTGGAACGTGTTCTTTAAAGTATGAGTGTGGAAAGTTTTCCCTTTAGTTTGTCCATTTTAATTAACTATCCGAATGTTTTGTTTCAAGACAGCGAAAAATTATAAACAAAAAGCACATATCATATACACATAAAAATTTCATTACAAAAGCGACTTAACTAAATCCAAGATAATGTTGCTTAATGTCAACGCCAAAACGTGCATACTGCCCCTTTGTAATTTGCCCTAGCGATTAGTAAAGAGTCACGTAAATTTTTTGTCGAACATTAACAAATAGACGATTTATAGGGGGACACACTTATCTCACAAAGACTACACATGGCACAGATGACAAAGATCTTGTGACACTATTTTGACAATGAGAGGAGGGCGCTAGTGAGCTATTGTAATTTAGTTTCACTTATGCGCACAGCATCAGATAGGTCCCTCAGTCTACATATTTTTCAGTCATATTTCGACACATTAACGAACGGATGACATACACAACTTGCCAGTGTCAATAAGAACAAATCAATCTAGTGTGACACACTCTGGCGCTGGCGATCTTGAATGAGAGTTTTTGCTTGGAGTTTTGGTTGTGGCGCGACGGGCAGCGCGGGCGCAATGAACCGGCTAAAGTTAAGGCCGTCAACCATACTTGAGTACACACTATCAACTCGTTATATATTAATATTATGTATAATTTATTTATCTAATAATTAAACATTTTCATTTTTTAACCGCCTTCAATATTTTTAATTTTAAGATGAATAAACGTGAAAAGGATACCACGAAATAATATTGTAAGGTGGATTTTAGTGATTTTGACCCCCTCTGCCAATGCAATATAAAATCTTATGTATCTGTAAATACATATATACATATATATACATCGTTATTAAATTAAATACTTATGTTATTTATAATGTATGTTTTTGTTTAGTAGAATTCGTGTCAAAATCCAAAATTTCACAAAAATTACATCAAAAGGCTAACATTAAAAAAACTAAGTAATGTGTGTGTGTTATTCTAAGTAATAAATGTTTTTTTTTTTGGCCTTTTCTTATAATTTGAGAACAAAAGCAAGAAAGATAAAACGAACTTTAAAAAAAACTTCTTAAAAACAAGTGCAAATATTTTAATCATGAAAGCGACTAATTAAAAATTAGTTGGATAATTTGTGCAGGCGCTTCATTGAAAACCTTAATAATAATATAGAACAAAAGAAAAGTTTCATAATCTTTGATAATACCACAAACTTTATATGAAGAAAGAAAATAATATATTAACTTGGTGAAAAACTTTTTCTCTTTTATTATCGATCAAAAAATATCGAAATCAATGAAAATGACATGACAACAATGGGCACTAGAGGGCGCTATAATTAATTTCCTTGGCGATTAAATAAAACAGTATTTCAGTATTTGCAGCGTTTAATTTTAGCAACATATTCGTGTTCCAGTGGAGTACAGACGTGCCCCTCTCATCTCAACATTTGTGCCGAATACTTGTCTAAGGTGAGTCGCGTTAATTATTATTTATCGAGTTAATACAATCTTTAAAACACATGTTTTGTTATTATAATAGTGTAACTACAAAATTACGAAGCGTTAGCGCCGTTCTGATAAGTTTTTACGAAATCCAACTGAAATATTTCGAACTGTTTTGATTGTCGAAATTAGTCTTAACATTTTCCTTACGTAATATGAAGTAATAATAGTCCCCTCATTTACTATTCCCGCTATTTTTTAAGCGAATTTATATTTTTTGCATGTCACTAATTATTATTGCATTCATGGCGTGATGTGCCAAAATGCATACTAGTTTTATACTGTGAGCTCTGGGATATGAAATATCTATAACCACATTTGTTATTTACTTTTATAAGAAATACATTATATATTCACAATGATAAGTTGCAAATAGGTTGCCTAGTTAAATCGCATCCAAATAATATTAAATAATTTTGAATGAAATGCATTTCTTCTAGTTCCCTCTTCGGTTATTTGAAAAAATTGTATATGTAAAGGTTGCTAACTATGTTTGTATACCCTAACTGATGAGATTTAGTATTTTTTTAAATGCGAGTAGTTCGTGAATTTATTATGAAAAAAGATAACTTAAAAAGGATTTTAAAATCAAATATCAGTTATAATTAAAGTTAAAAGAAATAGTTATTTCTTGCTTAATGCGAATACTTATAACATATAATTAACTGATTAATATTGTTTACCCTGGACCCGATAATAGTGACAGAGGTTTTATTCGCCTTTTAGTGTTGTCTATTATTATGTATGTTTCGTGATAAAAAAAGAAAATATATTGGAAAGCCATGATTTTCATAAAATACTCGTATTTACTTAATCGAATCAAAACAATGGAAAGAGTGGTCTTAAATAGTATCGTCGTACTAAATTTAGCAAATGGAGCGATTCCAGTTGACTAAATGTCAGGAGTTACGCGCGCTCGTAGCCGGTTATAGTTCAAGCATCCAATTTCGATTCCCAATTAGACTCATCACATTGTTTCGATACACACATTCGATTAGACACATTGTTTAACTTGACACTGTATTATTTTTAATAGTAAACTATTTTTAAATCTAATAAAGAAATTTTTACAGTATCACAAGTAAATAATATTGAACCGGCATTGACAGAAAAACAGGCGTGCAGATTAACATTAACATTGAACAAACTTACAATTTCACCATCATCAGCTCATTATACGTTTCTACTGAGGGGCTTGGATACCCAAGTTAGGAATGATAATTCCAAACGACGTTGATCCAGTATCGGTTGGTTGACTTTAAACGTATCTTTGAATTTTATCGCTGACATTTGCAGCCTCCTCAGTATTTACCGTGTCTTTATAATTTGTCAGATTAACTAGGAAAGTACAGAGAAAAAACTTATAAACATTGATTTTATTTACGAAAAAAGATAAATACACGTGAATTATCAAACTATTTTAAGACTGGTAATATTGCCTTACAGTGCATGTATTTTTGGCAAAACACAACTCTCAGTTCCATGCATTTTCAATTGCTTACCAAACATTTCCATGTATTGAACATGTATTACAATCAGCTTCGATGAAGTAGTACTCTGATGGTTACCAATGGAATTGATTTGTTAGAACTTCAAATGCCTAATCAGTTTGCGAAACATATCTTGTATGTCTGATGTAAACAATATCGTTGTCCATGGTGAAATCACACCATTGCAGACTTGCATGCAGCCCCGCGGATTGACCCTTACTAATGCTCGATTTATTTCGAGATAATAATAATACTGAAATGTTATTGTTGACAACTTATTTTCGTCAAAGATACAGACAAACAGTCAAGCTGGCTCATTTAATTTTCATCTTCATTTTCAGATAATATGTCTTACGTTTACGAAGATAAAGATCCAGCTTTCGCAGAGAAATGTGGCGATATGATGCTTTATTCTACTCAAGTAGGTTTCCTCAAAAATCTTGCCGAGGAACTGATCGCATTGGCAAACGAAGATAATTGGTTGGAATCATTCGAAACTATCAACAATGAAAAAAAAGTCGAGGCAGTAATGGAGAATAAAAAGGTTGGCATGTGCTGGTTGGTGATGTTGGCATATTGTATATATGGCCTCAAATTTGGTGCAGAGTGATAACCTTAAGTTTTATGTATCAGTTTAGAAAAAGTACAGATGGCGATTTACTTATAAATTTACGTATCTCGTGATTAATTCTAGCACCTACCTACCTACGTATACTTTTTTATATATCATACACATGGAGCCAAGGAAACTTGAAATATTGTCCTTCTCGTCATTCAGACAGTTTGTTGTTATTTTTGCAGTTAATGAACGCTATAAAAGAAGTATTCTCTCCAATTCAACCTATCTTCCGTGACAAGGATGCTAAGATTGCCCAGGAGAAGCGTAAAGCCGCTGCTGAAGCCTTGAGGGACGGAGAGCTTGAGAAAAGTTTGGGTCTTGCGAGTCAGAGCGTACTCAGATCACCTATGACAAGTAATGTTGACACATAATTGATTTAATTATTATCAATTTATTCTCATGTTTGGAGATAATGTTGTACGTAACCTATTAGCTAATACAACCGGGTTTGAATATATGTAATGGTGAGGGTAAACATCAACACTACAAATTGAAATAAACTCAAATAAAAGCGAACAGTTATTGTTTTCGTTCATTTGTAAATGTCCTTTAAATACTCTAATTGTTTGCAGATGTGGACGAATCAGTAGATGGGGGAGTCTCTCTTGCCCTAGGTTTGTGGCTGCGGTCCGAAATATTAATGCGAGGTAACAGATATCAAGCAGCTCTTGAAGATTTAAAGATGGCCTTAAAGGAACGAATACCGGCTAGGATGCGCGGCCAATATTATTGGAGGCTAGGAAACTGTTATAAAGGTACGTCGAACTAAATAGCAATCGACTATAGTGACGCAAACATAAAATATCGCATTGTAATATAACGTTAAAACATATTTTTTGCATACATTTTTAAGGCGCTGGCGAACCGACGAGAGCTAAAGTCTTCTATGAAATAGCGAACAGATTGATAGACGATAAAAAGGCTAAAATTCAATTGCATCAAGACATGGAATCTCTCGACTTTTCCCTGGAACCGAAACATTCTGAAAACCAAAAAGGTAACTTTCTAACCATTGGTTTCCGAGACAAAATCTCTGGATAAAACTAAATCGTAATCTATGTCATTATATTTGACAAAACAGAGATAACAATATGTTTTAAACGAGGAATTTTGTCTCAGAAACTTATCGTTAGAAACACTCCTTGAAAATCACGTAAAATTGAATGTTAACATCCGGTAATTCTATAGGTTGTCTGTTGTATAGGTACTGTGCTATCTGGTGGCTCTAACTACGCTATGCCGGCACTGTCCGACTTGATAGAAATAACAACGGATCAATTGAAGGTACTTACACTTAAATTAACATTTAAACACAAAAAATATATACAATTGTGGTAGGCACATAAAAAATGTTCGATCATTGTATCTTTCTATCTTTATGAACTTTATTTGCAAATCAAACCACTAAAGTCGTACAGGTATTAGGTTTTCTTCTAATTTTGATTTTTTTAAATGTGCTTGGTTCCAGGGTCGTTACGCTGTTGCCAGTATGCCAATTAAAACTGGGGACGTACTTCTCATTGATCAACCTTACGCAGCGTGTCTTTTCCACAAATATTACGGTACACATTGTCAGCATTGTTTACGAAGGTAAATGTGCTTTCAACGGATTTTATCTATTCAAAAAAGTCTGATGGAATTATAAAGTTACACACAAGTAGCCGACCTGTGGATCAGCGGACAAAGGGCCTCTGCTTGTTTTATGTAGACTGCTAATTAACTGCTATCTACTAAGATGTAATACTTTTATTTAGGTTGGAAGACTGCGTGGAAGTAGCTCCTGTGGGGTGTCCAAAATGTTCGGGAGTAGCTTTCTGTAGCGTCCAGTGCAAAGACATCGCTATCTCCACATATCATCCATATGAATGTCCCTTTATGGGATTATTTATAGGTAACTATGATTACACGCGGTTCCACTTCCGGCTGCCAAACTGTAGACAACGCTTCACGATGAATCGGATAAATTAATTATAAAACAGTGATTTATTCGCATTTTCAAAATATATTTTGTTATTAAGTGGAAGAATAAACGATTGACAGCACCACCTCACGATACTGGAGTAATTTTTAACAATTATATATTTTTGTCATTTAAGGGTCAGGAATGTCGGTGCTCAGTCATATAGCATTACGGATGGTCACTCAAGTCGGTCTCGAAACGAGTCTCGCCATTTATTCAAAGTATTTGTCCAGCGAAGAAATTTCTAACAATGAAGTAAGCACAAATCCTAGAAAATGTAAAACAAGAAATCGAAAAGAAAGATTAACACGTTCTAGAATGGGCCTAGGCATGGTATCCGATGATGATGTTATGAAGGAGGCCAAAAATAGTTTCGAAGATAAACAAAATGAATTATTGAAGAGAGCAGATGAAATATATAGACTTTGTACTCACTCGGAGAAAAGAAATGGAGATGATTATTTAAAAAGAATCGTGATAGCGATGTTTCTCACTGAATGTTTAAAAAAAAGTGGCTTTTTTAAAGGTGATGAAAACGAACAGCAACAAGCAAGTAAGTCAATATTTATAAAATTTGTTATCTGATTCGCAATATCTTAATAACAAAATAATGAAATTTTGTGGTATTTTATTTGTTTACTTTATTTTCCAGATGTGTTATCCATATGTAAGTTGATAATACAGAACCTCCAGCTGCTTCAGTTCAACGCACACGAGATCTACGAGACGCTGCGAGGTGCTCACATGTTCACCGGCTCAAAGCCCTCGTACATTGCAGTAGGCATTTACTCCACCGGCGCTCTGTTCAACCACGAGTGCAGTCCCGCGGTGGCAAGGTATAGTGCCATATAAACTTTTTGGCGGCTCGCAAATTTACAGATTGTGCGCCATAATTTTAAATATCAACAAGAAAAAAACCGTTGAGATGCAGGGGGTGTACCTCGCGCGTGCTTTTCTCTACCCGCAGTGGGCAACTGGCAACTACCCACTTTGCTCGCAGCTACCCACGAGTCACCATAACGTTTGAATTATCAATGTTAATTTACATTTTCCGTTACCTTTTCGAGTACAAGAAAAATAATATTTGTAGAAACTATAATATCAACATTTGTAGCACGAATCAGCCGGGTCTTTAAACAGCACTCACTAACGTTAAGAATATTTAAATATGAAATTAATTTCTTGTTTGTATAGTGTTTGAAGATATGTAGCGAAATGAGTACATTAGCAAACTAAATAACATCACGTCACTGAAGAAACTTTGGTCTTGCAAACGTGTCTCAAAGTTAAACGAACTATCCGGTTTTCAGACGAGATCTTTCAAGTACTAAAGTTTTCAACGGTGGAGTACCTGTGGTAAAACTGACTAAAACTAAATACCAATGTATTTATTTAACATTCGTCATAGTATGCAATCATTCGAATCCATTTCACTTGATTGAATTAACGTAAAGAATTTCGTAACGTTTTCTTTTAAGTTTTGTAAATATAATAACAACGTGCAAAGGGTTCCCGCAGCTCGTTTGCCCCCTTCTATTATAAAAAAAAATAGACAAAATCAAAAAACCACACACACACACACATTCTGTCATAAATTAAAACTTGCATTACTTTACTTAGAGAGTCCAATATCCCAACTTCGGATATATAAAGAGGGATATTTGATATAAATTGTTCCAGATATTTTGAAGGTTCTAAAATAATTCTGCGAGCTATCCGACCGCTTGAAGCTGGGGAAATGGTGTCTGAGAATTATGGGCCAAATGTTTTGGTTCGCAACCTCGCTGAGCGGCAGAAGTCCCTCGCCTGCAGATACTGGTTCAAATGTGACTGCCTCGCTTGCAAGGAGGACTGGCCGCTCCTTAAACAGATGAATTTTAATGATCCCATCCTGAGGTACTCACTTTATTATTTTAATGAAGAGCACATTCAAGTTACATTAATTCCGACTATTTGTCTCCTATCATACTGAGATTAAAATGAAACAAGAGTATAAGATAGAATATATAGATAGATAGATAGAAGCAAAAGAACGAACATTCTATGCACGTTCACATTAGTCATCATCATCAATATATTTTAAACTTTCGTCTATTTTAAGAGTCTAACTTGTTCCAGATGTCCGAACATATTATGTTCCTGGAAATATAGACCGAATCCAGATAATCCACCAGAAAAATGTCCAAAGTGCTCTGTTCCTATAGAAAAGTGCCTTATAAATGTTTATATTGAAACAGTTGAAAGGTGTCTAGCCGGATACGAGGTAACAATCTAACATTAATTGTAAGTTCATTATAAATTATTATTTCGACAAAAGAAACCTCTAATTAATTACACTAGAAGTGAATACTTATTTCTAAATAATTTATTACTAAGATATACTTATATATATAGAATAAGAAAAAAATTGTTAAAGGAAATTATTTAGATGATTTAAAGAGTAACCGCGTATCAGTCCGTGTAATCAACGTTTTAATGAGTATTCTGTTTGAGTGGGTGCTAAGTATTCAGGCAACAGTGTACCAGGTGCCCGGCTACCCGGCTACCCGCCACCCGGCTACTCGCCACCCGGCTACCCGGCCACCCGGCCTCTCCGTGCGCCTTGTACGCTGAATAATTAACTAGAATTGCACCTGTTTGATTAGTTTCTACTAGAATCCAATCACCGCTGTTATTTGAAAATTATAGGGACATTAATGTAAATAAAACAGTAGTTAGTTATTTGCAACGTTAAATTGTAATGAAAAAATAGAATTGTTTATTTATCCAAGCATTTTCACTATATTGAAACTTTGTTACGTTAAATTTTGATTGTAGACCATTAGAGATATAGAGATAATATATATCAATTCCAGAATTTAATAAAACTATTTAACAAATTGAAAAACATGAAGACTACAGGATGATAGTGAAATATAAGATATACACTAGATTATCTTTTTAGAGGCTGAATCATTTCACTTATTGTGTTACTTCAATAATGAAGTTCATAATTAAACATACGTATATACGAGTGTTAACAGGACCGTTTTATATTTTCTCACTTTCCAGTGTACAATGCGGACAAGTAGATATGCGGATACAAAAACCTGCAAACATGTACTTACCTCAATATACTACTTTTTAAAATTCTTCCTCATTTGACAAATTGAACTTAAACTTTAAGTTACAACGACATATTATGGATTACCATTGTGAACGCTGATCCCACCATTAACACTCCAGTATGACGCCGTATTGCAGCTAATGGCATACTTGTATTCGCCCACCGGAACCATAATCCTCTCCCATCTGACTTGATGCTGTTATTGGATTATATGGAAGCAACTTAATCAATATTTCACACGCCAAATATGTTGTACCTCAGGATTTCCTGAATAGCTAAAACGCTGCATCGTCCAAGACAGCCTATCGGCATATCAACACGTTGAAAAAGTAGTCAACTATCAAAACGAAATGCTTTTGTTAACGAAACCGTCTTTTTAGTTATATGTACATGTCCCACATTTATTAGCCTGTCGCTAATGCAAAAATCGGATCGCACTATAGTGACGTTAAGCTGTAACTTGCAGAAAGGCGCCAGTTTAATGGAAGAGGAACGGGCCGAGGAGGCAGCAGCCGCGCTGTGCGCTGCGGTGGACGCGTACCACAACGTAGGCCGCTTGCCGCACCGCGAAACCTTCCTCGCGCAAGAGTCTCTGCGCGCCTGTTTCGCCACTGCCGGCAACACACACCGCGTCAAACACAACCCCCAGCTTGGTGATAAGTAATACCCCTACAATTTAGTTTTAGTCACTTTCATTTTAAAATGTTACGTTTTTATATTCTTTTTTTTAATAAAATAAATTATAACAAGGGTAACAAGTATTATTCAAAACCATTTAAAATTAAAAATCATTACTCGCGCACTATCATAAATAAAATAATTAAATAGAATATATAAATTTACTGAATAAAATACAAATTTGATAATAATCCAAATGTCCAATAAATGATAAACAGACGATGCAACTGCGCATCATATCAAATACATGCGATTTCGTAATAGCTACAAAACACCATGTGTTATAACAACGCGACAAGGCACGAATGATTGTAGCTAGGGGTTGCCAAAGAACTCCTTGCAGGCGCATGCCTGCATGTCGCCGTCGCCCTCGCCCTCGCCGTCGCTGGAGGCGGTGTGCCGCAGCGCCTGCACCTGCCCCTGCAGACCCAGGATACGCAACTGCGCCTGCTCGAAGTTCTCGTTCAGTCGCTTGATCTGGCACTGCATGCGGCATTGCACCTGATACATAAATCATTAATAAATACTCATTATCGAAATTAAAAACAAACTACAAGTTTGTAAAAACAAACTTTAAGTCGCGTCAGAAACATAACAAAGTTTTCCTTCTGTTGCTCATAAATGCTCCATCATAATTACCAGAGTGACTTTACTGAATATCGTGATATCAAATCGCTGACATTTTCATTACCTCTTCGCGTTCCTTCTCAGCGTTCTTTACATTAGCTCTCGAGGCAGCAAGCTGTCTCTCTAGCTCGGCCACAGTAGTCTGCATACATCTGTTTCATAATATGACATTGAATTAATTTAAGTTTTTCATGTATCTAAATACTTAGGTTTAATAGCTGAAGATACCTCGGGGCCGAACAAGGTGGAAACTTATTGGTGTTGACTTAACGTATATTTTGCGTCAACGCCACTCTAATTAGTTGAGATGAACTTACTTCCGCACGGTCTCAGTGCGCTCGTTGGCGCGCTGCAGCGCCCGCGCCGCCTCATCCCGGTAGCGGTCCAGCTCGCCACCGAGCTGTGCGCACTCGTGCATCTTCTCGTGCAGCCGCTTCTCATGAGCCAGCACCGCTTCCTCCATACGGATCACGTTAGCCCTACAACGAAGAGCATTCTGTATCAACCGATATTTGTATTTTCACTTGCTTCCCTAAGTGTTGTCTGGACAACGAGTTCTCGTCCCTCAAATCTTGTTTCAACATAAACAATAGTTAAAATTAACAGTAACTATATGCTTCAATAAAACAAGTCAGATTGAACTTACTTCAGTCTTTCAATTTCACTCTTAAGACCCATATTGGTTTCTGTTAGTTGGGAAATTCGCTGCTGCAGGAGAGCTATTTGTTTTTCATCAGTGCCTTTTTCCGGAGTTTTCTCCGGCGGTTTGATGGTGTTGTGCAATAGAACATGCACCTTAAAAAAAATCACACAATTATTTTACGTCACTTTTTAATGTCTGTTAGAACTACCTTACTATTGCAAAAATAAAAAGTAAACAATTAAGAGAACCTTCTCCCTTGCGCAATTCAACTCCCTAGCCAATTGCTCGGCGTTGTGCTCGGCGATGGCCTGCGACTGCTGCGCGTCTTTCAATTTCATTTGAGTCGCCTTCAACAAGTCGGGGATCGGGGTCAACTCCTGCAGTTTTTCTTGGAATTTCAGCTGTCATGAAAAAAGGAAAATTAATAAATTAAAACATATATCTGTTTTGGCCGCCTATGGCCCAAATATTAAATTATACTAACACAATATTTCATACCATATTATTGTAGATAAAACTTACCTTAACCTTCTGTATCTCGAGGTTAATTTGTTCACTTATTCTTGTGTTGTCCATGTCCATCATGTCCATTTGTCGCTTCTGTTCCTCCACTAGTTGTTGTGCTTGCAGATACTAAAAATACATAATTCATATTAAGTTTGTAAAAAGCGAATATTAGCCTATTTTCTGATTAAGGTTAATTAGTACCAACTTTAACTCTGTAGTCTTGGAGCTGATCGTTTTGCTCCTTCATGAGCACTCTCAGCTCGTCGATCTCCTCCCGGGCCTCGCGATAGCATTGCTTCAGCATCCTGACGCTCACTTCTTGCTCGAAGGCCTCCTCCCGCGTGCCCAGCAGCATGTTGGTGTGCGTCGTCAGACCCTCGAACTTCATCTCCAACTCCCGCAGTTTGTTTCCCACCTCGCGATGTTGACATCTCTCCTTCTCCAACTCTTCTTTTTTCTTAAGGAGTTCCGCTCGGAGCATCGCACACTGAAATATGCTTAAAAAGTTAATCATTAAAATTTATATTCTATTCATGTCGTATATTCGACAGTGACGACTTTTCTATCGTTACAACATTTTCTTTTATTATAATAAAGACACTAAGGAACTGAACCTCTGCAACTTTAGTCTTAAAGCTTTCTTGCATCTGCGTCAACTGTATGGTTAGCCTCTGCACTTCCTTTTCAGCGGGAGTCTGTAACCAAACGGTGAAAATTAATAATAACATTCGTTTTAAATAAATAATATAAAACTTAAATATCGACAAATGATATTACCGGCGGAGCATTAGGATTGCACGGCGCAGGACACGGCGGACAGACACCGCACTGAAAGCAAATAAAACTTAAAATAAACTACTGTATATTCATATTAATTATTATTATATGAATATAATTTTGCCTTCAAAGTATGTATAAACTCTTTAAATGAAATCATTCAAATACGTAAACCACAAATCCATTAGGCTTAATGTGAATAGAGCATGTCACCGGCAGAGACTATATGCATGAGATAGTCTTCTGTGTAGTGTAGACACATACAATTACCTTCACAAAGGTCCGCTATTGTGAAAGCAAATTCGGACAAAGTCTATCGCCTATTTGTGACGACTTAAGAAATATTCGAAATGATTATGTTGAGAGGTACTGGAGGTAGATATGAAAATGATTCTTACATATTAAACTTTAATTATTCGGTTTTCGCGATGTCAAAACCGTACCAAATGATTATCATGATTAATAGATATTGCTATTACACGTAATATGTACTTTGTCGTCCATACATAAAGGCAGACACGCGTGTGATGGAGCCATTGTGTTTGCGACGCCGTACAATTCTGCCTTTGTCGTTAGTTGGCCGTGTAATGAACTCTCTGTACATTGTATATGTGATTTGTTATTTAATCTTCATTTAGAAATGGTAGATGATATCCACAGCGAGTGTAAAGATATAATAATAATGTATTAAGATGTTATTGAGTTACCGCTAAGTGTATGTTAGTCATGTTCATGTCAACCATATTGCGCCTTTTGTTAGGCTTGTCAGTGGGTAGGAATACTCACGGCCTTTGTCATAGGAGGTACCGGAGGTCCTCCACCCTGTAATAGCATGTATCAAATTAATGCCAAATTATATGGTATAATAATATCTTTTACATCTCATCTCATCTCATCTCATTTATCAAAGATAAATTCTATACGTTGTTATTGTCTTACATACATTAAAGAATTATTCAAAAATTTCTCGGCAATAGTTAATTATGTTTTGAAAGACCATCCTCCTGGTATCTTTTACCTTAAAGAAAGAAGCTGGGAAAGAGTAATTTACTTACAGCTTAGTTGCTTTCTAAAAACTACTTGGTTCGGATTGCTGTGCTTTGTGTTAGATGCTACAATAGTTATGTCAGCTGTATGTCAGCTATGTGTTGCTGACCGTCTGCTGCTGGAAGCAGGTGTTGGGTCCGCCGGCACTGCCGCCGCGGCACGCGCTCTCCCCTTCCTTCTTTGAAGACATTTCCGCTCGAATGTGACGAACTTCTAATTCTAATTCGCCCAGTTGCTTTGCCTTCAACAAATATCTTTCAATTTATCATATTATAGTTATGAGTGCTAGGAGATAAATATTATAATATGTCTCCTATGAAATTTTATGTGTGTCTTTTTTGTGAATTATTTAAAAAGACGAAAAAAAAAAGAAATTTAGATTTAAAGAAATAAAAAATATGTAAGCAATGAAACATACAAAGTTAACGCTGGAGTTTTTATAATTATCGAGTTTATCGATGAGCTCTTGTGGACTTTTTTCATTAATATTTTCTTCAATCTGAAACAATAATTATTTTATTACATCTTTAAATAAATGTATACATAATACAATTGTTTAATACAAAGAATATTCACCTCGTTTGTTTTTTGCTGACATGAAACGTCTTGGTTTATCGCAGTTGCATCGCCCTAAATAAGTAATTAAAATGTTATTTATTTAATCATTCGAGAGGAAGTGATTTTCGAACAAAAAATAGGCAGTTATCCATAACTACTTTCTTATAGAAAATAGAAAACCTTTCACAATAGAGTTTGAAACAAAATATCTGATAGCGATCTCACTACCTCAGGGTTATTCTTATCGAGTTTTTCGCTAAGGATTGAATTCTCAATGTTCAACAGTTTCAATTCCCCTTGCAACCTCTTGATCTGAGCGCGACACGTCTCCAAGTTCTGATCCTTTGTCATCAACTCCTTGTACAAAATATATCTGAAAAAATAAACTTACCGTGCTGTGAGCATGTTGTATACTTTACTTTTTCATATCAATTATATTTTTGAATCAAAAGTGTTGTTTCATGGTACTGGATTTTAAGTATTAAATAAAAGTCACGTTGACACATATCAAACAAAACATTTTTTTATATTAGATATCTTCGAAAAGGTCGTACATAAAGGAGTATATAAGTGTCGAATTTACTTCTAATTTTAGTAAAGGAATTTTTTTGCAATAAAAAATTCAAATGTGCGCTGTGCAAAGAAAAGATTTAATGAGGGAACCAATCCAATGCACTGATTCAATGATAGAATTAACTGTATTCAAGTACTTATTTCCTTAAAGGATGGTAACCATAAGGATAAGTTACAATATCCCGAAATACTTAATGGCTTAACTTTGACCACTATAAGAAGTTTAAAAATGAAAAGATATATTTAAAAAATGCAAATTAATTTCGGCAAACCTCTTGACTTCTAAATCGGCATTATCAGCGACTAACTTTTCCTGCATATCGT